CCCAGAACCCCCCACGCCTCCCCCACAGGTCCCCCTGTGCCTCCTCCCTTACCCAGAACCCCCCACGCCTCCCCCACAGGTCCCCCTGTCCCTCCTCCTCTACCCAGAACCCCCCACGCCTCCCCCACAGATTCCCCCTGTCCCTCCTCCTCTACCCAGAACCCCCCACGCCTCCCCCACAGGTCCCCGTGTCCCTCCTCCTCTACCCAGAACCCCCCACGCCTCCCCCACAGGTCCCCCTGTCCCTCCTCCTCTACCCAGAACCCCCCACACCTCCCCCACAGATCCCCCTGTGCCTCCTCCCTTACCCAGAACCCCCCACGCCTCCCCCACAGGTCCCCCTGTGCCTCCTCCTCTACCCAGAACCCCCCACGCCTCCCCCACAGGTCCCCCTGTACATCCTCCTCCTCTACCCAGAACCCCCCACGTCTCCCCCACAGGTCCCCCTGTCCCTCCTCCTCTACCCAGAACCCCCCACGCGTCCCCCACAGGTCCCCCTGTACATCCTCCTCCCTTACCCAGAACCCCCCACACCTCCCCTACAGATCCCCCTGTCCCTCCTCCCTTACCCAGAATCCCCCACGCCTCCCCCACAGGTCCCCCTGTCCCTCCTCCTCTACCCAGAACCCCCCACGCCTCCCCCACAGGTCCCCCTGTGCCTCCTCCTCTACCCAGAACCCCCCACGCCTCCCCCACAGGTCCCCCTGTGCCTCCTCCCTTACCCAGAACCCCCCATACCTCCCCCACAGGTCCTCCTGTCCCTCCTCCTCTACCCAGAACCCCCCACGTCTCCCCCACAGATCCCCCTGTGCCTCCTCCCTTACCCAGAACCCCCCACGCCTCCCCCACAGGTCCCCCTGTCCCTCCTCCTCTACCCAGAACCCCCCACGCCTCCCCCGCAGGTCCTCCTGTCCCTCCTCCTCTACCCAGAACCCCCCACGCCTCCCCCACAGGTCCCCCTGTGCCTCCTCCTCTACTCAGAACCCCCCACGCCTCCCCCACAGGTCCCCCTGTCCCTCCTCCTCTACCCAGAACCCCCCACGCCTCCCCCACAGGTCCCCCTGTCCCTCCTCCTCTACACAGAACCCCCCACGCCTCCCCCACAGGTCCCCCTGTACATCCTCCTCCCTTACCCAGAACCCCCCACACCTCCCCCACAGATCCCCCTGTGCCTCCTCCCTTACCCAGAACCCCCCACGCCTCCCCCACAGGTCCCCCTGTGCCTCCTCCCTTACCCAGAACCCCCCACACCTCCCCCACAGGTCCCCCTGTCCCTCCTCCCTTACCCAGAACCCCCCACGCCTCCCCCACAGGTCCCCCTGTGCCTCCTCCTCTACCCAGAACCCCCCACGCCTCCCCCACAGGTCCCCCTGTACATCCTCCCTTACCCAGAACCCCCCACGCCTCCCCCACAGGTCCCCCTGTCCCTCCTCCCTTACCCAGAACCCCCCACGCCTCCCCCACAGGTCCCCCTGTGCCTCTTCCCTTACCCAGAACCCCCCACGCCTCCCCCACAGGTCCCCCTGTGCCTCCTCCTCTACCCAGAACCCCCCATGCCTCCCCCACAGGTCCCCCTGTGCCTCCTCCCTTACCCAGAACCCCCCACGCCTCCCCCACAGGTCCCCCTGTCCCTCCTCCTCTACCCAGAACCCCCCACGCCTCCCCCACAGGTCCCCCTGTCCCTCCTCCTCTACCCAGAACCCCCCACGCCTCCCCCACAGGTCCCCCTGTCCCTCCTCCCTTACCCAGAACCCCCCACGCCTCCCCCACAGGTCCCCCTGTGCCTCCTCCCTTACCCAGAACCCCCCACGCCTCCCCCACAGGTCCCCCTGTGCCTCCTCCCTTACCCAGAACCCCCCACGCCTCCCCCACAGGTCCCCCTGTCCCTCCTCCTCTACCCAGAACCCCCCACGCCTCCCCCACAGGTCCCCCTGTCCCTCCTCCCTTACCCAGAACCCCCCACGCCTCCCCCACAGGTCCCCCTGTGCCTCCTCCCTTACCCAGAACCCCCCACGCCTCCCCCACAGGTCCCCCTGTCCCTCCTCCTCTACCCAGAACCCCCCACGCCTCCCCCACAGGTCCCCCTGTGCCTCCTCCCTTACCCAGAACCCCCCACGCCTCCCCCACAGGTCCCCCTGTCCCTCCTCCCTTACCCAGAACCCCCCACGCCTCCCCCACAGGTCCCCCTGTCCCTCCTCCCTTACCCAGAACCCCCCACGCCTCCCCCACAGGTCCCCCTGTCCCTCCTCCCTTACCCAGAACCCCCCACGCCTCCCCCACAGGTCCCCCTGTCCCTCCTCCCTTACCCAGAACCCCCCACACCTCCCCCACAGGTCCCCCTGTGCCTCCTCCTCTACCCAGAACCCCCCACGCCTCCCCCACAGGTCCCCCTGTGCCTCCTCCTCTACCCAGAACCCCCCACACCTCCCCCACAGGTCCCCCTGTGCCTCCTCCTCTACCCAGAACCCCCCACGCCTCCCCCACAGGTCCCCCTGTGCCTCCTCCCTTACCCAGAACCCCCCACACCTCCCCCACAGGTCCCCCTGTGCCTCCTCCTCTACCCAGAACCCCCCACGCCTCCCCCACAGGTCCCCCTGTGCCTCCTCCCTTACCCAGAACCCCCCACGCCTCCCCCACAGGTCCCCCTGTGCCTCCTCCTCTACCCAGAACCCCCCATACCTCCCCCACAGGTCCCCCTGTGCCTCCTCCTCTACCCAGAACCCCCCACGCCTCCCCCGCAGGTCCCCCTGTCCCTCCTCCTCTACCCAGAACCCCCCACGCCTCCCCCGCAGGTCCCCCTGTCCCTCCTCCTCTACCCAGAACCCCCCACGCCTCCCCCACAGGTCCCCCTGTGCCTCCTCCTCTACCCAGAACCCCCCACGCCTCCCCCACAGGTCCCCCTGTCCCTCCTCCTCTACCCAGAACCCCCCCCCCCCCGGCTTTTCCTGTCTCTTTCCCACCAGGACCCTTCCTCCTCTTCCTCTGGTTCAGGCCCTCCTGCCTCCTGCCTCCTGCCTCCTTCTCCTCTCTTTCTCTCCACATTCTCCTCTCCCCGCCTCTCTTTCCAGGACCCCCAGAACCCTTGTGAAAGCAGCAGACTGAGGCTGGCTATAATTTAAAATACATTTATTTAGTGTTTCCATTTGTCTTGGGTTCTGTTATACAAAGCTGTTAAATAAATACATTCTCCGCAGTCACTCAGGTACACACCTACTTGCTACACAGATGAGGTAGAGAGATCAATCGGTTCACACAAGACTCCACACCAAGATGGCACCCCTCCTGTGTCTCAGGCCCGCGGCCACGCCCGTGGCCAGGGCTGCTGCCGGGAGGCGGCCGGACGCCGGGGAGGGAGGCGGGCACGCTCCATGTGCTGTGCAGAGGCCTGCCCTCCGCTCTGCCCCACAGAAAAGCAGGAGAAAGAGAGGTCCAGCACATGGGAGCGGCTGCTTCACCGAGCAAGACATTCTAACACACAGTTATATAGAAACAAACCAGCCAGCAGACATTTTCAGTCTGCCTTGTTTAAAAAAATACTTTTCTGAATATTCAGGACATAGAGCTAAGTGTTCCTATTTGATTTTTAAAAAATCCTTCCTTTGACCCAACACCCTTTCCCAGAGCCAACGGTGGCTGAGCTCCTCTTGGGAGGACGGGGGGGGGCAGGTGGGGTGCTGTACCCCCTCACCTACCGCTCACCCCTGCCAGTGCTGTCACACCAGCCGCCCACACTCGCTCCGGGGCAGGGCACTGACTGGGCTGTCATCTGAACCACAGGAGAATAAACTTCGCTATTTACACTATCCAAGAGGGACCAGGGATCCACATCCACATAAATATGTTTTCTTTTCAAACAGTCCCCCTTCTGCTTCCTGGACCCTGGAGTTCTGGGGGTCCTGCTCCTTTCTCAGTAGTTTCCTGCATCCATTCCTGCCTGCTGCCTTCCCAGACCCCAGCACCCCCCAGGACACCCATCTGAACAAGTCCAAGTCCAGAGTCTCAGGGAGCCAAAGAGCCGCCGTACGGAGCCCTGTGAAGGGGCACGCTGGCCGTGCCAGCACAGCATGCACAGCGTACACACACACTTGCGCGTGCACGCACGCATGCACACGCGTGCACGCGCACACGCGCGCACACACACACACACACACACACACACATGCACATTCACACCAAACCAGGCCAGTGTAGGCACCCTCCCCCTGGAGAGACCGTCGCACAGCCAGAAAGACAGCACACTGTCTGCCTGCTCCCTGTGTGGCCCCTCGGGAGAAGGGCTTCCAGGGGCTGGCCAGCCTGTCCCCACTCCTGGCCCCAGGAAATGCACTCCATGGCCCAGACGCTGGGCTGTCTGTCCACAGAGAGCAGAACAGGTGTGGCGGAGAAAAGGGCTTCCACAAGTCTCAGGCTGTGGCTAGGCTTGCTCCTTCATTCCTTCCCCAACATCACCTTGATCTAGTGGTTTCCAAGAGCCAGCAGGGAAGCAGGGAGTGTGGAGGGGTCAAGAGGAGGAGCCTCCCTGGTCAGCTCTTCTCAGCTGGGGTGAGTCAGAGGGGTTGCGGCAGCCTGGGGCAGCGGGGCGGAGGGCATAATAATTACTATATTAAATAACAATAATTTAAAGGTCACTGTTACTCCAAAGAGAAGTGCTCCTACGAGAGGCGGGGCCTCCACACCTGGGAACCTGGTGCGCACTCTCCTAGTGGTTTGGCTCTCTGAAGACGGTGCTGTGCGGGGTGCGGGCTGGCACCCCACGGGGCGCGGGCTGGCACCCCACGGGGCAGCCGTGGGGCTGTGAAGGTGCACTTTCCCCCAAGCTTCAGGAGGAGCCTGGGGGGAGGGGCAAGCGACAGACCGGGGTCCTGGCCAGGGCCCACTGCAGGGACAACCTAGAAAGCATTGCTGCAATACTCTCGGGTCAGGAAGGAAGCTCAGGTCTGGGACACAAGCAGAGTGTCGGGGGCCAGACAGGCCCCAGCCTATGCCCGAGCCGGGCCCACTGGGACACTGGCGGTCACCTCTGTTACCGCTGAGCTTTGAGAGGGGGCAGGGCCGACTCAGCTGACTGGCCGCTGCACGCCGAGGCCCCAGTGGGCCGGGGAGGCCCCCAGGCCTCGCAGTATAGATTCTGTGTACTGTGCACAATCCTCCATCCCATAAAGCAGGGCTGGTCGGACCTCAGGGCTCAGCTCTCCCGGTGGGAGACCCTTTGTACTATGTGCAACGCCCATCACCCATTCCGTGGAGCTGGCCAGGCCTGGGGCTCAGCCCTTGCAGGGGCAGACCCCTTGTGCCGTGTGCAATGCCTGCACCTCCGATGGAGGGGTCTGTAGTCTTGCAGGTTAGGCTCTCCCACGGTGCGCAATGCCACGCCCCACGCAGCAGAGCTGAGGCTCTGGGGCTCAGCCCTTGCAGGGGCAGACCCCTTGTGCCGTGTGCAATGCCTGCACCTCCGATGGAGGGGTCTGTAGTCTTGCAGGTTAGGCTCTCCCACGGTGCGCAATGCCACGCCCCACGCAGCAGAGCTGAGGCTCTGGGGCTCAGCCCTTGCAGGTGTAGACCTCTTCTCGCTGTGTGCACTGCCTGCACTCCACGTAGCAGCACCAGCGCACCTGGCACTGGCAGGGTCTCGTCACCACCCGGCTCTGTGTGTTGTGGCCTCGGCCACAGCAAATACTCTCACAGTTCTTCTCGCGGTGGCACCTGCGGCCAGCGGTGCCGGGGGAGAAGCGGCCAGCCAGACAGAAGCTGGGGGAGTCGTCCAGGTGGACGAGCTCCGGCGTGTGAGGCAGCGGATCGCTCCCGCCCGCCCCCAGGGCCCGACCCCGGGGCGGGGAGATGGCGCCCGCCTCGCCCGTGGCCTCGTTGGTGGTGCTGCCCACCTTCAGTGCCGTCTCGTACTTGTGCTTCAAGTGCTTGCCCACCTCGTGGAAGGGCGCCAGCTGCCTCCAGCAGGTCCGCACGGTGCAGGAGCCAGACACGCCGTGGCACTTGCAGGTGGTCTCCACTCCGGCCTTGATTACCTGCGGGCGGAGCAGGGAGGCTGTGAGCGGCGGGCCTGGAGACCCGGCCTGCAGATGGCCTGGGGGAGGCTGGAGCTACCACCCACCTGGCACCAGACCCAGACTCAGCCCCGGGCCAAGTCACCAACGTCTCTCTCTCTCTCTCTCTCTCACACACACACACACACACACACACACACACACACACACACACACACACGCACATGAGGCCCAGGACCTGGCTCCCCCCCTAAGGCCAGGGCTGGGCTCACCAGGAGAGATCATCTTCCTGATATCCTCACCCACCATCCCAGTCCCACGGGGTCTCCCATGTCTGGTCTCCACACACTGCTCATTGGACAGGCAAAGACAAACAGGACCTTCAGCTCTGGCTGGTGTCCTGACGGACAACCTCCTTACCCAAGTATTAAGACCAGCGGAGGCGTAACCTAAGCCAGAGCCGGCCAGGACGCCAGTGCAGGGAACACAGACATGCAGAAGGGCAGACTCACACCTCCCAGAGAGAGTAACTCCAAGGGAGGACAGTCTGAAAGTGCTACCCCTGGGAGAGCTCCCAGGGCCAGTCCCACGGGTAGGCACAGAAACTCCAGCTATAGCAAGCTGTCGGGGCATCGGGGTCCTTCCCTTCCCCAAACAGGAGTCCCACCTGCTCCCACAGGCCAGCTTTCCCCAGGGACCTCCTGACGCCCACTCCTGGGGTTCGTGGGGCTGTGGGCTGAAGCAGGTCAGGAGGCCTCTTTCCAGGCAGGCCTGAGCCAGGCTGCTAAGCTCTTACACGCTCCCAGGAGGGCCCAGCTGGAGTGGGATTAAGAAATGCAACCCCCCCCCCTTCCTGCTGCAACTGAAGAGTCCCACTTATTAAAGATGTTTTGCTGAGAAACCTCGGACAAATTTAATTAAAACCTGGCTGCCTCAGGCCCAGCAGTCCACCGGAGCACTCTAGCACATTCTGACTTTTCATTAATACCTCACAAAAGGGCAAGGGGGGGAGGGAGGAGTCCCTGGGAAGAAGAGAGCCGCCTGGCCTCAGGGATTTGATCTGCCCTTGCGGGCCCACTCTGCCTGCCAGCCTTTGCCCAGGGAGGCAGAGGAAGACAGCATAGGATTGGTCAGAAAGGGGGAATCCAGTCTCTTGTAAGTGGGGGATCCCACTAAAGAGGAGCTCAGGGCAGGACTGACTCTAATTACATCCCTTTCCTTCCCAGACTAGGGGTCCACAGCCCAGCAGGGACAGGAGAGGAAAGGCCCTCTAATCTGGAGAGAGGCTCTGGCCCTGCCCTTCTGTAGCCCTTTCTGACTGAGTCCAGGACCAGTGTGTGGTGGTTTACGTTGTTCAGGGATGGTCTGGAGGTGCTGGTGCCAGGGTTAGGGAACTAATGTTCCTTCCCAGCCCCATGGGTCTGGGAGCTTTGTGACTGAAAGTGGCACTGAAAAAAGCCAGGGCTCAGAACTTCCAAGGGCCTACTGGAGAGCTGAGGGAGTTGGGTATCTGTCCTCAGAACAGTCTCTACAACAGACAGAGGCAAGGCAGGGGAGACCTGACTTCTCCCCCCCATACACACCAACCACTCCTCTGGGATCTCCTTCTGGCCACACTAGGGGCCACCCTGACTTAGATCCTCAGTGACAAGAAGGCATGGTATCCTGGAATACAGACCACCAGCCCTCACATTAGACTATCCAACTGAGAAGGCCCTCTGGGGGCCTTGGTAACCAGGGACAGAGGCATGGCAACCCAGACAGTCAGCTTCCTGTGGCTCATCTCCAGGAGGAGATGGGGGTCGACCAAGGCCCCTCCAGCACTAGTGAAATCCACTGCAAGCAGGACGCCAGGACCCCGGCTAGCACTGCACGGTAGCCTGTCCCTAGACGATGCCCAGCCCTGCCCCAGCACCCCTGCGCCCCGCCTACCCCGCTGCGCCCCCCACCCCTGCGCCCCGCCCCCACCCCTGCGCCCCCACCCCTGCGCCCCGCCAAGCCTGCTGCGGCCCCACCCCTGTGCCCCACCCCCACCCCTGCGCCCCGCCCACCCCTGCGCCCCGCCCCCACCCCTGCGCCCCCACCCCTGCGCCCCGCCCACCCCTGCGCCCCGCCCACCCCTGCGCCCCGCCCACCCCGCTGCGCCCCCCACCCCTGCGCCCCGCCCCACCCCTGCGCCCCGCCCACCCCGCTGCGCCCCCACCCCTGCGCCCCGCCCCCACCCCTGCGCCCCGCCCCCACCCCTGCGCCCCGCCAAGCCCGCTGCGCCCCCACTCCTGCGCCCCGCCTACCCCGCTGCGCCCCCCACCCCTGCGCCCCGCCCGCACCCCTGCGCCCCGCCCACCCCTGCGCCCCCACCCCTGCGCCCCGCCAAGCCCGCTGCGCCCCCACCCCTGCGCCCCGCCCACCCCACTGGGCCCCCACCCCTGTGCCCCGCCAAGCCCGCTGGGCCCCCACCCCTGCGCCCCCCCTGCGCCCCATCCAACTCTGCGCCCCCACCCCTGTGCCTCGTCCACCCCACTGTGCCCCACCCCTGCGCCCCCACCCCTGCGCCCCGCCCACCCCTGCGCCCCCACCCCTGCGCCCCGCCCACCCCTGCGCCCCCAACCCTCCAGTCCCCCACTGGCCCCGCCCACTCCTCCAGGCCCCCCTCCCTCCAGGCCCCTCCCCTCCCTCCAGGCCCCGCCCCTGGCCCCGCCCCTCCCTCCAGGCCCCGCCCCTCCCTCCTGGCCCCTCCCTCCAGGCCCCGCTTGCCTTCACACCCACGAGGTTGTTGTGGAAGTCCACCCGCGCTCGCAGATCCTTGCTGGACCGCCGGCCCAGGAACTCCTTGACGAACTTGCTGCTGTACTTGAGGTTGTCCCCGCAGCCGCCCCACTGCCAGGCCTCCCTGTTCTCCAGGTCGGGCGCCTCGTCGCAGGTGCAGCGCTCCATGCGCCCGGCGCTGCAGGCCTTGGCCAGCGCGTGCGTCAGGCCGGCCGAGGAGATGGCGTACAGGAAGGCGGTCTCCTTGAAGCCTGCGGGACGGGCGGGCGGGCCGGTCAGCGGGGGCGGCGGGGCCCCGCCGCCGCGCCCGGCTCTGGTCTCGCCCCCCTCCCCCCGCCGGGGCATCTGTGCGGACACCGGGCACCGGGAGGTGCGGGGCGCGGGGGTCGGAGCCCACGGGGGCCGCCAGCTGCGGCTGGCGCTGAGCCCCCAGACCTCCAGACACCGGCCCGGCCTGAGCCCTGGCCCTGGGCTCGCTCTCCCTCCAGCCTCAGGCCTACCAGCTCCTGCCAACACCCAACTACACCTGACCCTCAGGCCTACCAGCTCCCCCAACACCCAACTACACCTGACCCCTCAGGCCTACCTGTTCCCCCCAACACCCAACTACACCTGACCCCTCAGGCCTACCAGCTCCCCCCAACACCCAACTACACCTGACCCCTCAGGCCTACCAGCTACCACCAACACCCAACTACACCTGACCCCTCAGGCCTACCAGCTTCCCCCAACACCCAACTACACCTGACCCCTCAGGCCTACCTGTTCCAGCCAACACCCAACTACACCTGACCCTCAGGCCTACCAGCTACCACCAACACCCAACTACACCTGACCCCTCAGGCCTACCAGCTTCCCCCAACACCCAACTACACCTGACCCCTCAGGCCTACCAGCTCCAGCCAACACCCAACTACACCTGACCCATCAGGCCTACCAGCTACCACCAACACCCAACTACACCTGACCCCTCAGGCCTACCAGCTACCACCAACACCCCACCCCAACTACACCTGACCCCTCAGGCCTACCAGCTCCGGCCAACACCCAACTACACCTGACCCTCAGGCCTACCAGCACTGGCCAACACCCAACTACATCTGACCCCTCAGGCCTCCCAGCTCCGGCCAACACCCAACTACACCTGACCCCTCAGGCCTCCCAGCTCCGGCCCTCCCCAGCTGGCTAACACTCCACCACAAACTATACCTAACCTCTCAGGCCTCCAATTTGTGTGTGTGTGTGGGGGGGGCAGTACTGGGGTTTGAACTCAGGGCTTGGATTGTGTGTGTGTGTGTGCACATGACTCTGTTCTTGAACTTTAAGACTATTAATCTACTACTTTGGCCACAACTCTTCTTTCAGCTTTTTTTCCTTGTTGGTTACCTCAGGGCCTGGGCGCTGTCCCTACGCTTTTTCCCTTCAAGGCTAGCAGTCTACCACTTTGAGCCACAGCACCATTTCCAGTGGCTCATACCTGTCATCCTAGCTACTCAGGAGGCCGAGATCTGAGGGTCGCGGTTCAAAGCCAGCCTGGGCAGGAACATCTGTGAGACTCTCATCTCTAATTAACCACCAGAAAACCAGAAGTGGCACTGTGGCTCAAGTGGTAGAGCACTAGCTTTGCACTGAAGAGCTCAGGGACAGCGCCCAGGCCCAGAGTTTAAGACCCATGACTGACAAATGTTCTTTAATTTTTAAAACAATTTACTGTGTTTTTTGTTTATTTGGATAACTTTCTTAATGATCAATAAAAAAAGGTATCACCTTCCTTCTCCCCTGGCAGTTTTATAGAACTGTATTAAGAGTTTTTATGTACAACTTTCTAAGAGTACAAATACAAATGATGCTTTTTTTTTTTCAAAAAAAAAAAAGTCACAGACTTTCCTGCCCAGGCTGGCTTTGAACCATGATCCTCAGATCTCAGCCTCCTGAATAGCTAGGATTATAGGCATGTGATTGGCTTTTTTACACAAGGCTAGAGCACTACTACTTGAGCCACACCTCCACCTGGGGCTTTGTGCTAATTGGAAAATAAGAGTCTCATGGGACTTTTCTTCCCCCCAAAACTATGATGCTCTGATCTTTAGATCTCAGCTTCCTGAGTAGCTACGGTTACTCAAAGTCTCCAGTTTTTAAGCCGTCTGTGCAAAGTTCCCAGAAGACCCTGAGCTTCCTGGTGGACAGAGGTGGCTGACTTGGCCGCCTGGCGTGAGTCAGGGCTGGTCCTGGGCCTGTCAGAGGCAGGGCACTCACCTCGCTTGAGCAGGCTGGCGCGGGTAGCGGCCCTCCAGGGTGCAGTTCCAGCGCTCGAAGCGGAACTGGTACTGGCACTCAAGGGCGCTCATGCTCACGGCCTCCACCAGGGTCTCGGCCACGCCCGGGTCCCGCCGGCACATGCGCCGCTGCTTGCGCTCCAGCTTCAGCCGGTCACAGGCCTTGTAGTGGGCCTGGGCCACCGCTTCCGGCTCCAGGGTCAGCGGGAGGATGGTCAGGGGCTCGCTGCCGGTCAGCCTGGGAAGAGCCGGGAGTGAGCCCTGGCCCCGGAGGAGGGGCTGGGCGGGTCCCAGGTCAGGGACCCGGGCAGGACCCTCACTGGCCCCCACTGACCACACACTGCCCTCCTGGCTCCTGAACATGGCCTCCTCACGGCTGTCTTTGCTTCTCTCCTGTCCCTGAGGGCTTCAGGGAGCCCGGCCACCACCAGCCCAGGAGAATAAAGACTCCATCCCAACACAGCTCTCCACGGGGAGCGCAACTGCTGCCTTCTGCAAAAGGGGCTGAGCGGGGCCCAGCTGGGCCTCACCGCTGTTGCTGGCCGGTGCTGTGCCTTTGGGAGCGGGCTGGCCTGCTCCCCTCTCCAGCCCCCTGAGCCTGAGCAGGGAAGGGTGCAGGGGACAAGAGAAGGACGGTCCCCAGATAACCGCCCACAGGCTGGGCCCAGCAGACCCCAACTTTCCTATCAGGCCCAGAGCTCTAGTTACAGCTCCAGGCCTCATCTTCTGCACCTCTAGTCACGGGCCCTCCCCCAGGCCCAGGCACCAAAATAACACCCTCCCCCGTCTGAGGAACACTCCCGTCCCAGACAGGCCCCTCAGGGTCTCCGCTTTAACCCCACTTCCATGACACCAGCCCCAGCTCCTACCGAGGGGCAGTCTTCTTGCCATTCCTCACATCCCTGCTCCACCCCACAACTCACAGTCTGAGTTCTGGAAACCATGCTTTCACCCCAGGCCACACAACCCCAGACAAAGAGACTGGACATGTCCACCCTCAGCCAAATATTCCTAGGCCTTGAGCCCTGCAGTCAGAACAGCACCAGCAAGTGAGCGGGGCTCAGAGACGCTTACCAAGAGCATCACTGGAGATCATCTGTCTGGCCCTAACCTCCTCTGCAAACACCTTGAAGTAGAACTTTAGCAGAGCTCCATGCAGAGGTGAGTGGAGGGGACTCAGGGATGTGGAGGGGACTCAGGGATGTGGAGGGGGCTCAGGGATGTGGAGGGGACTCAGGGATGTGGAGGGGAGTGGAGGGGGTTCAGGGATGCAGAGGGGAGTGGAGGGGGCTCAGGGATGTGGAGGGGAGTGGAGGGGGCTCAGGGATGCAGAGGGGAGTGGAGGGGGTTCAGGGATGTGGAGGTGAGTGGAGGGGGTTCAGGGAGGTGGAGGGGAGTGGAGGGGACTCAGGGATGCAGAGGGGAGTGGAGGGGACTCAGGGATGTAGAGGGGAGTGGAGGGGACTCAGGGATGTGGAGGGGAGTGGAGGGGACTCAGGGATGCAGAGGGGAGTGGAGGGGGTTCAGGGAGGCAGAGGGGAGTGGAGGGGACTCAGGGATGTGGAGGGGAGTGGAGGGGACTCAGGGATGCAGAGGGGAGTGGAGGGGGTTCAGGGAGGCAGAGGGGAGTGGAGGGGACTCAGGGATGTGGAGGGGAGTGGAGGGGGTTCAGGGATGTGGAGGGGAGTGGAGGGGGTTCAGGGATGCAGAGGGGAGTGGAGGGGGCTCAGGGATGTGGAGGGGAGTGGAGGGGGCTCAGGGATGTGGAGGGGAGTGGAGGGGGCTCAGGGATGCGGAGGGGAGTGGAGGGGGCTCAGGGATGTGGAGGGGAGTGGAGGGGGCTCAGGGATGTGGAGGGGAGTGGAGGGGGCTCAGGGATGTGGAGGGGAGGGGAGGGGGCTCAGGGAGGTGGAGGGGAGTGGAGGGGGCTTAGGGAGGCAGAGGGGAGTGGAGAGGGCTCAGGGATATGGAGGGGAGGGGAGGGGGTTCAGGGATGTGGGGGGGAGTGGAGGGGGTTCAGGGAGGCGGAGGGGAGGGGAGGGGGCTCAGGGATGTGGAGGGGAGTGGAGGGGACTCAGGGATGTAGATGAAGCATCAGGGCCATGGCAGGAAGGCCGTGTGATACGGGAGCTCTCAGGATGTTAAGACCTTCGCACAGGTGCTCAGGGACTCTCAGAAGGAGCTGGGCGTGCGTCAAAGGCCACATTGTGGACATCCAGGCCTGTCCGGTGACCAAGCTCGCCACAGAAGTCTCCAAGCCTTGGAGACCACAGGCCAACTGCCCACCAAGAGCGGGGCCATGGGAAAGCTGGGGAGTGAGACCCAAGCTCAGTGTGGCTCACAGGGCGGAGACTGTTCCCTAGGAGGAACGTCACGGCGCTCAGAAGACAGAGAAGGGCGGGCAGCAGCTTCCCGCTCCACGGGGCAGGCGGCCGGGCATCTAAGACACTCCGTATGGCCCCCGCTTGACCGGGGGCCAGGGACCAAGTGCAGCTGAGGCTGTGGCCAGGAAGAAGGGCAGAGGAGACAGGCAGAGGAGAAGAAGGTGGGGGGGAGTGAGGGCAGATTCCCTCCAACCCCCTGGCAAGTGCGTCAACTTCAGCATGGGGTGTGGGGCAGAAAACCCCAGGACAGCCTTTCCCTCCAGCCAGCTCGTGTCCCAGGACCCTGTCACTGGGGTAAATTCGGGGTGCAGGGCTCTAGGAAGCTCTCATCCCACGGCAGAGTAACAACACACCAATGTGTGGGACCTAGCTGGGGCTGGGGGGGTTGGGGAGCACCATGCAGAGGTCCCAGGTCGTCCCAGGCCCTGGGGGGTTCCGGCCATCCTGCGTGAGGCAATGGTACGTGGGCCTCTGGGAGGAGCTCCAGACTGCAGGAGAGCCCTTGTACAGGGACCTCGGCTACCTCTGCGCGAGGGTCCGGGGGAGGCGGCCAGAGCCAGGCGGCAGCCCCCTCTAGTCTCAGAATCTGGGGCTTCCAACATGGACATCTGGGAGTGACATGCTCCTGAGAGTCACGACAGTGGTCTGAGCAGCTACGGCTGCTGCTTCTCTCTAGAAACACAGCCACGCCAGGCGTGGCGGCTCACACCTGCGATCCCCGTGTGTGGGGTGAGCCAGAGCCACCACAAACGCCAGGGAGATGTGTGCCTGGGCTACACAGCAAGCCCAGGGCCAGCCCAGGGGGCGAAGCGGGGCCTGCTCCAAGACCAGCAACACCACCAGCCGTAGACGGGTCACGTCCGCACCCATGTGAATACGGTAGAAGCTACTCTTTTGACTTTTGTTTCTTTTTTTTTCTTTCTTATTTTGGGGAGTCCGGTCATGGGGCCTGGGCGCTGTCCCTCAGCTTTTCAGCTCAAGCGCTCTACCACTTGAGATATAGCACCACTTCCAGCTTTTTTTTTTCTGCTTATGTGGTGCTGAGGAATCGAACCCAGGGCCTCATGCATGCAAGGCAAACGCTCTACCACTGAGCCACCTTCCCAGCCCCTGACTTTTGTTTCTTTTCCTGTCCTTGGGGTTCAGGGCTAGCATGGGGGCTTGCCGGCCGCGATCCTCAGCAAACCAGCTGGTGCTGCAGTGAGCTTGGCTGCTGGTGTTCTGAGGCAGTCACCCAAGCTACCGCTCAATACTCTTTTTTTTTTTTTTTTTGGTCAGTTGTGGGGCTTGAACTCTGGGCCTGGACACTGTCCCTCAGCTCTTCAGCTCAAGGCGAGCACTCTAGCATGAGCCACAGCGCCACTTCCGGTTTTCTGATGGTTTACTGGAGATAAGTCTCACAGACTTTCCTGCCCAGGCTGGCTTTGAACCGCGATCCCCAGATCTCAGCCCCCTGAGTTGCTAGGATGACAGGCGTGAGCCACTGGCGCCTGGCTTGCTCAATACTCTTTAAATCAGCTGTGGGGCTGATTCTGCTCACTGCCAGCCAACATGAGTGCTGGGGCGTGTGTGAGCTCCAGTGGGCGGGGCTGCGTGGCTCAGCTGTCGGGTGTGCCCGGGTGCTGGATACCCGCTCAGGCTGAGTCCGTGGACATCCAGGGCTTGCACCTCAGAGCACAGAAGCCAGGAGGAGAGGCCTGGATCTTAGATCTAGCCACCACACAAGACGGGAGGCAGGTGGCACGCCCACCTCCCGAGCACCCCATAAACGAGACCAACGAGGATCAGGGGGTGAATCCCCGGAAGGCACCCTGGGTAGGGGTCACCCAAAGCCAGCAGGGGGCGCGGGCCGGCCCCCATCCTCTCGCCTGCCAGGCCTTGATCGCTGGCCTGGGGTGGCCAGCATCCCCCCACACCACCAGACAGTGACAGCAGGTGGGCAGCCTTGGCAAGGCCCTGCCGCTGGGCAGCTGCCCACCTCCACGGCGCACCCCCGCCCGCTGGGCAGCTGCCGGCCTGGACCCCATGGGTGTCTGGCCTGAGTCACCGCGGCTCCACACAGCCACCATGCCGGGCACCAGCCTCCCAGGCAAGCAGCTCTTCCTGGACAGAGACTTTCCACTCACTCCCTGCTACCTTTGCCTAACCAGAGTGTGCGACAGAACATGTGGCCAGGCCATATTCCAACTTCCATTCCAGGGGGCTTCTCACCCCACAGCACAGACAGATCACCTCCAAAGGGACTGAAGACCGAACTGTAAATCCTGCAACTCCGAAGCAACTAGAAGCACGAGGTGATGCTTCCCAACACCAATCCCAACGGTGGCGTTTTTGGACATATTCTCAAACTCATACGTGATGTAAGCAGAGACGGAAAGTGGGCTTGCATCAAGCTAAAACGCTTCTGTGAAGCAAAGGAAACACAACAAAGAGATAGCCCACAGAATAGAAAACCACTTCAAAAACGACCTCACACCGGGAGCCTATCTAGAGAAATTCAGTCAGTTGTTCACCGTGGCTCTGCTCACAATAGCCAATGTAATGGAAGCCACCTCGGTATCCACCCACTGATAAGCAGATAAACAGTAGTACAAAGTCACTGTGGAATACCATACAGCCTTCAAAAAGAGGAAATCTTGTCACAGTGACCACATGGATGGAATTGGAAATCATTATGCTGCGTTTAATATCATAAGCCAAATACAGAAAGACAAGTACCACGTGATCCCACTCCTAGTTGGAAGAATGAAACCGTTCGACTCTGAGGTAGAGAGAATGGTGATCACGAGGGTTACAGAGATGCTGGTCAGAAGATACATTAGTCCAGGTGAGTCGGGTGCCAGGGCTCACGTTT